CTGCTTCTCGGGTGAGTCCGCTCCTGCCTCCCCGTCTCCTTTGACCACTCCTTCTGCCGCTTCCATGGCCTTGTACGCCACCCACCCCTCGTCAATCTTCAGGTCATACTGTTCTTTGATCCGCGCCAAGGACTTCTTCTGCCACTCAACGGTGTCTCGGTCGCGGTAGCGTTCTCCCCACGAGATATCCCTCTGCAGCTCCTTCGCCATTAAGTGCATCCGCATCGTGTCCAGGAGCCAGGTCATCACGTTCGCATCCATGGCTCGACCCAAGGCGGCTCGCCGCTGTTCCTCGGTCACCTCTGGGTGCGCCGTAGCTCCCCACAGATGCCCCATTGCTGCTTCTATTTCATTTGCCGTTGGCTGCTCCCAAGCTCCTTTCCGCACGTCGTAGACCATCCGTGGGCCCGGCAGATCTCCCTCCATGATGAATCCGCGGGCTTCAGCGTAGGACACCAAAGTCGGCAGCGCTTGCTGCGGCTTCCCCGGCTCATTACACTGGTACTGTGACGGGTGATCTGCGCACGTCACCGGCGCTGGCAACCGGTTGGGCTTCAGAATGTCACTCACTAAGCGTGGCTCTGGCCGCTGCATCAGCGCCAGTAAGTGTCGTAATGCGGCGGTAGACATCACATTCTGCCAGTACCGTCTCGGCCGATGGGCTCGCGACCCCAGCTGCGCTGCGTCGGCTCGCACTCCTCTCCCCACTACCCCGCTTATCTCCTCGAAGGCTCTCTTCACTGGCTCTCGCTTATCTTCGGCCAGGTCGACATTCTCCAGGATGTAGGCTACTTCTCCTTGGAGCTGTTGAATCATCACTAACACCCGCCGCAAATCCCGGAACGAAGCTCCCCGCGCGTCTTCCATCCCCAGGCCTTCCCCGGCTCTGGAATACCCTTGACATTCCCACCCTGCAATGACCAAGTCTATATGCCCCAAGCTCTCCAGCACGCCCTCGGAAATAGCTCGGACGTCGTGCACTGCTGGTTCCGTCTCGTATGGAAGCGTGTCCTCCCACATAAGATCTGGGTATTCGTCTCTTAGCAGCTCAACATGGTGGCGTGCCATCTTCCGCACGGCTGGATCCCACTCGACATGGATCCACTTCTTGACGGTACATCCGGCGCGCAATGCTGCTGCTAGGCCAGTCCCAACCCCCTTTTATAACTCCAATATGCATATGGGCACGTCTAATGCCCGTACCCTGCTGACCCGCTCCTTCAAATCCGGCGGGCTCTGCCCCAAGAGTCGTCTCTCGATCCGCCTTTTGTTTTCCGCATCATATCGCTCCCAGGTCCAATCATCTAGCTCCTCGGTCAGATCCTTCCTTCGTGCCTGATACGCTTCTCTTGGCTCCTGCTGTACGAACCAAACCGGCAGCGTGCCGCCGGTGCTCTCTGGGTCCCAGTATTGCACGCGGAAGAGCACCTTCTCCTGCCATGTACAAATGGTGGCTCCTACTCGGTAGAGGAGCTCTATCCCCACGAGGACATCGTAGTCCTCAGATTCCGAGACGCCACACAACAGTCAGATACAGCACTCTTTCTTCATCTCTGGTAAGAGCACCACTTCCACCGGCTGCCTGGTTTTCGGCATCCGCTTCGGTTCCCCCCCTTCGGCAGTCATAAGTAAGATTCCCTGCTCGATGGTGCGCCCTGATACATCCAGCTTCAGTTGTTTAGTGAGTCCCTTGCCGATGAGCACATGATGCGCTCCAGTGTCAATGATAGCTTGCTTCACGGGCAGACCTCCCACGGTAAGACTCCCCTTTTCAGCAATCAGCACGGACGCTTGACACACCAGCCGCTCGTTCGGGTGCCGCCTCATATCCGAGGGTCTTGCTCCTTCTGCTGGACTGCCCCGGGGCCGGGAACCGCTAGTCACTTTGCTGCTCTGGGTCTGGCTAACGTGGGGTCGGAGTCTGATATCGTCTCGAGCCCGAGGATAGGCCATGGCTGCGTACTCTCGAATATATTCCTCCTCTTCCTCTTCCTCCGCATTGTATAGTTCTTCGTACGCCAACATTGCTCGCGCCTTTACCTCCTTCTGATTCGGTAGCTGCTCCAGTCTCTGCTGCAACCGCTTGACTTCGGCTTGGAGCTCCTCCCGCGTTGCCCCCAGCGTGTCCTTCGGCCGGCTGTAACAGTCCTCCTTCCGGTGCCCACGTTTCCCGCATTGCTCGCATGTCGGCGCGTTGTGACATTCACGCCTCAAATGCCCATGCTCTCCGCAGGTGTGACAGAGTCGAGGGTCCCCTCTGCTACTGCCCCTAGATGTAGGATCGGGTACCGCGGCTGCTGCCCAGCTCGTCTTGGCCCGGCTCCTTCCGTCCGAGTCTTCTAGATCCAGCAGTCTTTGCGCCTGTTCCGTTTTCTTCGTCAGCAGATAAACTTCCTTGAGAGTAACATCAGCGCCGATGCTATAGACTGTGCTCCGCACTACTCCCTTCAGCTCTTCGTCTAGCCCTTGTACGAACTTCCTCACCACCAGGCATTCGTCCGTGCTTTCCAGATCTTCGGCTAGTTCTCGAAGCCTGCAGTAGTAAGCCAGTAGCGATTCTTCCTTCTTACGGCGGAAGTCCCGGAACTCTTCAACGCGCGCCTTGGTCTACCCCGCGGACTCCTTCCGCAACAGCTATAAGAAGCGGGCCGTAGGATTGACTATCTCTCCTTCCGCCAGCTCGTCCAACACTTTATCGCGGGACAGGCGGTAGAAGGTCTCGGCCTCGCTTGCCAACGTCCCCACCATCTTCCCGAAGAACTCCGCTGGGTCATATCCGTCATGCTCCGAGCAATATTGGACGGTCTCGAGCTGCATCAGATAATTCTTCAGGCTGGGCCCCACGCCAGGAATACCCGTATACCGCTCTGCCACCTCCACCTTAGGCAAGTTAGTCGCCTTCCATCGAACTCCGCCAGTGCTTGGTCCCTCCTGTGAATCACCAGGAGCACCCGCGGCGCCGCTATGTATCAAGGCTCTCCCTCGCATGGGCTCTTGTACGAAGCTTTCCAACGGCCTCCAGCATGCCTCAATCTGCTCCTTCCTCGGAGGCATCCCAGGCATTCCGGTTTGCGGGGTCGCAACTTCTTGGTTCTTCCAGCGTTCACGTAATTTCTCAGTCCAGCGAGCGTCGAGTGGATTATCTCCCGGGTCCAAGACGACAGTTCGCGCTCGTTCCATGCTATCTCCCACCACGCGAGCTCGTTGGTGTAGAGTCTGGTACTTATGTGAATCCGTTTCGCCACGTGCCGCTCTCGCGTCTCCCCGCGCTGCTATCTCGTCTGCACGCCTCCCCTCCGTAGGCTTCAACTCATCGGTGTCGTTCCACAGTCTCGTTCTTAATAACTCTCCACGATGCATCGAGATTCCTTGCGTGATTGTTAGTAAGTCCTGCAACACAACCTGTATCTAGCTCTGGAAACCCTAGCTCGGCTGACTGGATAACTGAATGTTGGGATCTGTATTGCTTGCGGCTTTGGTTTCACGTGCTCAGTTCGATGGGGTAGACGGAATAGTAAGCATAAGTGTGGAAACAATCACGCAAGCAATCCTTCCTCTGCTTGCCTATTTCTTATGTATCAGCGTCGTGTTACCGTTGTGCTAACGGATCCCTCTCACCCGCCAACTCTCTACTTTTTCAGTTGTGTAGCTACACCCCCCTCGCTTTGCTAATCATCCTCCCTACTGTACTGTTCTATATTTCTTATTAGTCACGAGGATATATCTACTGCTCTACGCACAGATTAGAATCGTGACACGGCACGTGGGCAAAGGTGGAGGTGGAGTGCACATCCCCTTGCTGCTCAAATCCAGGGCAGAAACACACACCGCACACACATATGCATCTCCATGCACCTCAAACTCTGACTCACAACTCGCACACACTGATTGACCGCACCTTGAGTATCTCGAAGAGCGTGTACGCGATGTGTGCCAGCACGTAAGCGAAGGTAGAATGCACATGTACATACACGGTGAACTCAGATAATACCATGTGGACACACATACGCATACGCTGATTCACAACGCACATACATACATACTTACATACATACATACATACATACATACATACATACATACATACATACTTACATACATACATACATACATGCATGCATACATACATACATACATACATACATACATACATACATACATACATACATACATACATGCATACATATATACATACATACATACATACATACATACATACATACATACATACATACATACATACATACATACATACATACATACAGACTTGGTGAATATAAGCCGACGAACCTTGAGTATCGCGAACGAACAGCATGTACTCGATGTGTGTCGGCACATTCGCAAAGGTGGAGTGCGCATCTCCATGTATGGTGAAGTCAGGACCCATCACACCCAATCAACAAACACGTGGAATCAACAAACACACATACATGTGGAATCAACAGACGCACCTTGAGAATCTCGAACAACATGTATTCTATGTGTGCCGGCACGTAAGCGAAGATGGAGTGCACATCCCCATACACGTCAAACTCAGGGCAAAATCCGAACGTGCGGCAAGAGACGTCCGTGCACTGCTTGACCGCTGCTTCAACCACTGCTTGCATTGACAGCTGATGTAAGGGGAGGAGGGATGAAAGTGGAGAGGGATGTATACGTGGTGACAGAAGGGGCAGAAGCCAAAGGTGTGGCGAGACACGTCCGTGCACTGCTTGACCGCCGCTTGGACTACTGCTTGCATTGAGAGCTGATTCAAGGGAGGGCTAAGAGGACGAGAGAGGTGAACGCAGGGCAGAGGCCAAATGTGCGGCGAGACACGTCCGTACACTGCTTGACTGCTGCTTCTACCACCGCTTGCATGGAGAGCTGATAGGGGCGGGGGGAGGGGAAAGAGGAGTGCACATCCCATCCCCATGCAGCTCAAACTCAGGGCAGAATCCGAACATGCGGCGAGACACATCCGTGCACTACTTGACTGCCTTGACCACTACTTGCATTGACTACTGCCTCGACCACTGCTTGCATTGACTGCTGCCTTGACCACTGCTTGCATTGACTGCTGCCTCCACCACTGCTTGCATTGACTGCTGCCTCGACCACTGCTTGCATTGACTGCTGCCTCCACCACTGCTTGCATTGACTGCTGCCTCGACCACTGCTTGCATTGAGAGGGAGGAGCAGGGGGGGAGGTAAGAGGGCGAGAAGCCAAAGGTGCGTCGAGACACATCCGTGCACTGCTTGACTGCTGCTTGCATTGAGAGCTGATGGGAACGGGGGGAGGGGGGGCGGGAAAAGAGGGGAGGCGAATGCGAGGAGGGGAATTGCTGACACGAAGGGGCGGCGAGAGACGTCCGTGCAATGCTTGACTGCTGCTTGGACCACTGCTTGACTGCTGCTTGGACCACTGCTTGACTGCTGCTTGGCCTGCTGCTTGGACCACTGCATGCATGGTGAGCTAATTAAAGAAGGAGTAAGAGGAGGAAGGGGGGGAGGGAGAACACTGAGGCATGTCAGTTCACTGCATGACTGTAGATATTTTCAGGGCACAACAGGAGAGCACCTGAAAAGCACCTGGGAGTACCTGGGCCACACCTGTAGCAGATGACACGCACCTGGGAGCAGATAACGCCAATGAATCCTGGCCGTTGATGCTGCAGGCAGATGTGATGCTCTGCGATGATCCTGCAACTGATTCGCGACCGCAGCCTGTGATGTAGATGGGCACGGGTAAGTGGAGTGGTGTGAGGGGGTAAGAGGGTGAGGGGTGAGGAAGTATGTGCGAGAGATTGTGATGTGATGCTCTGCAATGACCCTGCGGCTGATTCGCGATCGCAGCCTGTGATATGTGGGGGTTGAGGAGAATAAGGGAGGAGAGTGAGGAGGTGAGAAGTCTTTGGAATTGGGAGGAGTGGGAGGGGAGTAAGGAGTCATTTTGAGACGTCTCAAAGCAGCTCTTTTGTCACGTGGGAGTGAGGAGTCGCATGTGCAGTGATGCTCTGCAATGAATGACCCTACGCCTGATCCGCGACCGCAGCCTGTGGTATCTGGGGGAGAGGAGAGAGAGCAGAGTATATATATGAGAGACGCTATATTTATAGGGGGAGGAGCAGATGTGATGCTCTGCAATGATTTTACGGCTCTTGATTCTTTTGAATTTCTGGGAGCAAATTTCACAGTCTTGATCCTTTTGCTTAAGTGCTTTCTACAGCTCCCCAAGGAGCAAGTTCCATCGTTCCACCTAATCCACAATGAACCTGCCATGATGAACCTGCCATGATGAACCTGCCATGATGAACCTGCCATGATGAACCTGCCATGATGAACCTGCCATGATGAACCTGCGATGATGAACCTGCCATGATGAACCTGCCATGATGAACCTGCCATGATGAACCTGCCATGATGAACCAGCCATGATGAACCAGCCATGATGAACCTGCCATGATGAACCTGCCATGATGAACCTGCCATGATGAACCTGCCATGATGAACCTGCCATGATGAACCTGCCATGATGAACCTGCCATATGATGAACCTGCCATGATGAACCTGCCATGATGAACCTGCCATGATGAACCTGCCATGATGAACCTGCCATGACGAGCCTGCCATGATGAACCTGCCATGATGAACCTGCCATGATGAACCTGCCATGATGAACCTGCCATGATGAACCTGCCATGATGAACCTGCCATGACGAACCTGCCGTGATGAACCTGCCATGATGAACCTGCCATGATGAACCTGCCATGATGAACCTGTCATGATGAACCTGCCATGATGAACCTGCCATGATGAACCTGCCATGATGAGCCTGCCATGATGAACCTGCCATGATGAACCTGCCATGATGAACCTGCCATGATGAACATGCGATGATGAACCTGCCATGATGAACCTGCCATGATGAACCTGCCATGATGAACCTGCCATGATGAACCTGCCATGATGAACCTGCCATGATGAACTTGCCATGATGAACCTGCCAAAATGAGCCTGCCATGATGAACCTGCCATGATAAACCTGCCATGACGAACCTGCCATGATGAACCTGCCATGATGATGAACCTGCCATGATGAACCTGCAATGATGATGAACTTACTCCACGGGGGGAGGAGCAGATGTGATGCTCTGCGATGATTCTACGGCTCATTCGCGAGCGCAGCCTGTGGTACAGAGGGGGGAAGGGGAGTGATGGAAAAGGGTGTGAGTGGGTAAGGGTGTGAGGGGGTAAGGGTGTGAGGGGTGAGTAACCATGTGTGAGTGATTGCGATGTGATGATCTGTGATGACCCTGGGGTTGAAATTTCGACCGCAGCCTGTAATGCAGAGGTATGTGCATACATAGAAGCAACAATTCACACACAGCCACTCACATGTTGTCCAGGAAGGGATCCACGCCGAGCCCCCTCCCCACTAGTGGCCGCAGGGAGCACTCCCTGTTGTCGCTTGTGTGTGAACGCACACCACGCACACGGAAGCACTGGCTGACTCATCCAGTCACTCACAGTCACTCACACAGCCACTCGCATGTTGTCCAGGAAGGGATCCAGGTCGAGCCCCCTCCACACTAACTGTCAAAGAGATTACTCCCTCAACCCCCTATCACCCGCCCACCATCCAAGAAATGGCCACTCACACAATCACACAGCCACTCACATGTTGTCCAGGAAGGGGTCCAGGTCGAGCTCTCTCCCCTCTAGCAGCCGCAGAGAGCACTCCCTCATGCCCTGTGTGTGGATGCACACACATACAGAAGCAGTCACTCACTATGTCACACACAACCACTCACATGTTGTCCCGGAAAGGGTCCAGGTCGAGCTCTCTTCCCACTAGCGGCCGCAGAGAGCACTCCACTCCCTCACCCCCCGTGTGTACAAAGTGTGCATAAAGCGCACACGGAACGAGATTCAGCCACTCACATGTTGTCTAGAAAAGGATCTAGGTCAAGCTGTCTCCCCACCAGCGGCCGCAGAGAGCACTCCCTCACCCCCCGTGCCAGCTGAGTGGGAGGGGAAGAGGAGAAGAGAGTTGAGGGTAAGCTCCCTCCCCGCCAGTGGTCGCAGGGAGCCCCCACTCACCCCCCGTGCCAGCACTCCCAGGAGATGCGTGTGATCGTTCACCAGCTGAGACATGCAAGGGGATGGATAGTGATTGGGTGGGGTGGAGAGGGGTGGAGAGGGGTGTTTGTATGTGTACTTGTGACAGCCTAAGGGGAGCACTCCCTCCCTCCTCGCGCCAGCACTCCCAACAGTGGTGTATGGTCGTCCACCAGCTGAGACACAATGGGATGGCTGGTGGTTGGGTTGGTTGGAGAGGGGTGGAGAGGGGAGGAGAGGAGTGGAGAGGGGTGGAGGGGGGTGTGTACATATGTTACAGCCTAAGCGGGAACACTCCCTCACTCTCCGTGCCAGCACTACCACGAGAGGCGTATGGTCGTCCACTAGCTGGGCCATGCAAGGGGATGGATGGTGGTTTGGTGGGGTGGAGAGGGGTGGAGAGAGGTGTGTGTTCGTGTGTGACAGCCTTAGGGGAGCACTCCCTCACTCCCTGTGCCAGCACTATAAGCAGGGGCGTGTGATCGTCCACCAGCTGAGACACATGCAACACACAAGGGGATGGATGGTGGTTGGGTGGGGTGGAGCGAGGTGGAAAAGGGTGTGTGTGCATGTGATCGTCCAGCAGCTGAGGCACATGCCACGTGCATGCAACACACAGACAAGGGGGGCAACATACAAAGCGATGGATGGTGTGCGGTTGAGAGGGGTGTGTGCACGCATGAGAGGGTGGGGTGGACAGAGCACAGCTTTTCCGAAAGAGCAGTGTGCAGGGGCATGCATTGGGCATATACCCGCTATAGTGCGCCTCTATTAATCAACATTTGCACAATCTGTGAGATTCTGTGTGAATGGCATGTACACAGCCTGACATCACACAAACAGCATGTACCCGTTGTTGTTAGTCTTGATCTTGATCTCCGAAAGCGCAGTGAACACCCGAATATGGCATGTACCCGCTATAGGCTACCCCTTTTATAACAACAGCAGCACACACCATGGTGAGCATCTGAGTAAATTTCGAGAGTCTTGATCTCCGGAAATGCAGTGAGCATGTCAAAAGCCTGGCGGTAGGAGTCGTAAACCTGCAGATGAGGGGGAGAGAGGGCAGTGGGTGGTTGGGTTGCGAGCACATGCAAGCACACACATACGCTGAGAAGAGCCACACCGATGAACGCGGTGAGCATGCCAAAGGCCTGGCGGTAGGAGTCATACACCTGCAGATGAGGGGGACGGACGAGGGAGGGGGAAGGAGGGGTAGACAGATGCATCCACAGGCATGCAGATTACGTAAGAGCCCATTATATAGGCCTACCTGTGTAAATGCACTGTCTACAGTGACCATATGTACAGGCCCTACCTGCTTAACGTGTGGGTTGATGAAAACGATGTGGGGTAAGAAACTGCTAGCTCATCAGAATGTGGGCCGTGAAAGATAAGCATGGTGAACGGTGCAGTGTCGTGAACGGTGCAGTGTGGTGAACGGTGCACTGTGGTGAACGGTGCACTGGGGTGAACGGTGCACTGTGGTGAACGGTGCACCCTGGACGAACGGTCAAGATAAGCATGGTACTCATAAGCACGGTACTCATAAGCATGGTACTCATAAGCATGGTACTCATAAGCATGGTACTCATAAGCATGGTACTCATAAGCTTGGTATTCATAAGCATGGTACTCTTAAGCGTGGTGCTCATAAGCATGGTACTCATAAGCACGGTACTCATAAGCATGGTACTCATAAGCATGGTACTCATAAGCATGGCACTCATAAGCATGGTACTCATAAGCATAGTACTCATAAGCATGGCACTCATACGCCTACCTGCTTGATGTGCGGGTTGATCACAACGATGTGGGGTAGGAATTGAAGATCCATCAGCCGTTTCGCCAGCTGTACAGGCATTTTCCGATGCAGAAACCTGGGAAAATAGATACACGGGGCAGAAATAAGGATTAAAACAAGTGTCAGAAAAAAAAAAAAAAATGGACGCACCAAGCCAGGTGCGCAAACACACATAACGGAAATATGAACTGTCAAGATTGTAGACGCCTTAGTCGACAAAAGTGTGCTTGCTATTGTCGATGACGTTCTCCTCGTTCTCACGATTCCAACGATATGCGCAACGGTTAATTCTGTCAACGTTTCACTAACGTTTGACTATTTTCTGTTTCACCAACGCTTGACTGGCGCTTCACTGGCGCTCTGCAGAGGAATTCGGTTCGCGATTCCTTCACTAGTGTTTGGCGATGCCTTCACACTGAAATTCGCGTCACTGGTGCCTCGCGGGGCCTTCGCGAATGCTTTCGCGGGGAATTGACGATGATTTCACTGAACTATGACAAAAGTGTCACCAAAAGGATTTGAACACTGGTTTTCACCAAGCGAGAGATTTCCCAGATGTTGTACTCAACTGACTAGTACAAATGCTTTATACTCTACCCCACACACACATGTAACCGAACCAAAAACGTGTCCCACAAGCAAACCCCTAGTAACCAAACTTGTCCCACACGCCAAGTGTCACGTCAAGACGCACACGCAACCCCAACACTTTCGTCGAACACTCCCCAAGTCCGAAAAACAGAGAATTGTTGAACACGCCATCTATTCAACCCCAATTCTTTCCCCGTCAAACCAACTCTTCTCCCCTAGTCATTTCTTCACCAATCTTCCTTCCATTTCACTCAAACTTCTTCCCGTATCTTCTATTTCCGTAGCTCACACACCAAGCAACTTAGTGTGAACGGGAGTTGTGTGTTGGCCCCATCCTCGCTTGGGCAGAGTCGACTTCATGGTCGGGTGTGAGGGGAGCAGCCGACCTGCAGTAGTGGGTGAGCTGGTTGACGTGGAGGTCGACTTGCACGGGGGCCACTGCACGAGCGCCGACTTCAGAGTGACGCCGACTTGGGGCAGCCGACTTGGGTAGTCAGCTGACAGGCCTGCTGGTCGACTTGGTGGTAGGTCGACCAGGCGTGATGTCGACCTGGTGGTCGACCTGACCTGGTGGTCGACGTAGGAGGGGCCGACGTCGACCACAACTCAGGGTGCCGAGCAGCAGGGCGTCGAGTAGTTGGGCGTCAACTTGGTGACGCCGACTTCGGGTAGCCGACTTGGGTGGTCGGCTGACAACTACGCTGGTCGACATGGAGCTGGTCGACCAGGAGTGCTGGTCGAGATGGAGCTGGTCGACCAGGAGTGCTGGTCGACATGGAGCTGGTCGACCAGGAGCGCTGGTCGACATGGAGCTGGTCGACCAGAAGTGACGTCGACCTGGAGCTGGTCGACTAGGGGCGTGGTCAACTTGGTGAGGTCGACTTGGGGTGGTGATCAACTTGGGAGGTCGACGGGCACGTACGGGAGCAGCTGGTCGACGTGGTTGCCCGGTCGACCGGGTTACCTGGGTGACGAGGTTCTGTGGAGGAGTGCAACGGTCGCCCACGCGAAGTTGGCGAGTCCGACCTTGGTGGTGGTATCCCGAGGTCGACGTGGCAGATCAGATGCAGTTGCCAGCGCCATGTTGACTTGGTGTGTGCGCTGTGAAGATGACAAGGCTCAGCACGCCAATCATCTGCGAGCACCTGCGAAGCTGGTGTGTTGTTGTACTACGGGAGCTACACTGGCACGCCATCCACCTGCGACGTTGGCACGCCGTCGACTTTGCCCTGCTGGAGCGCGGTCGACCAAGTCGTGCTGGAACGCGGTCGACCATGTTGCGCTGGCAGTCGACCGACGTGAATGCTAGCTCTGATGTAGTCTTGCCATGCCAACTGCATTGTACCATTGCTGTCTACTTTCTCTAGTGAAACTCTTGTCAACTTACCCCGCGAACTAGCAAGCAGTGTGAGCACTAGGAAAACGACTAAGGACCAACAAACGCAGAGATCACACGAGCACCCGTGCCTAGCCCGTAGTCTTGCTCCCGTTGTAGTAGTTATCTCCGCATGGTGTGGTGAGCGTGGATGGCACACGACTTACCTTTCAGTCAGGTTGACGTAGAGGCTACTTACCTAAGTTGTTCGTAGGCCGGCAGCCGTGCAGTCACTAACGTGCGCGTAGGTGACACCAAGGTGATGGACACCCTGGAGGGACGGCTGGAGGATGCGAGGAGACGCCATGAGGCCCAGGAGTACGGGGCGATACCCTGGGCGGTCGTCGAGGCTGGACTCCGCACCATGTGGGCGACGGAGCATACCCCTTCTTGATCGGCTTCTCCTCGACCTGTGACCAACGAAGGAAGCGTCGACGTGGGCGTCCACGCCGGAGGTGGAGAAGTCGGCAGCAGTACGGGAGGCACGTCGAGGCAGCGTGGAGTGATTCACGCCGATGAAGTCGGCGGCGTTCACGCGCGACGGGTGCAGTCGTCGGCGGCTGCAAGCCCCTTGCAGGGTGACGTCGGAGGTCGACGAAGCGGGTTGTCGCCGGATTTTGGCGACCCAGGTGACGGCGGGCGGGATTGCACCAAGCTACGGCTACTTCAAGTTTACGCCGGACAGGATCTTGATCACCCTGCCACTCACAAGTTGACCCGACAACCTCACCTGAAAGGAGGCCATTGAGCCTCACCTGGAGATGGCCGGGCTGACCAGCTTTGCCTGAGGCACTGTGGCGATGCCGGACGACCCCGACCTGCGTGCAGAGTTTCGCGTCGTGCAACTGTTGACCTTCACGGTCATCTCGCGGTGCTGCTCGCCGGACGTACAGATCGCCTATAAGTGGTGCCGAGAGTACCTCGACGCCGGCCACCAGGCGTGGCACTTTATCGAGTCGACCTACCAAGTCACCGACGACTTGTTCATCACCCAGCAGGAGGGTCAGCTGACGCACCTGCGTATGGGCGACGAGGAGACAACGACCGACTACTGCAACCGGGCCAGGCAAATTCTCGCCACCATCAGGATGGCCGGCCCGCAGTAGTCGACAGCGTCGCATGTTACCCACATCATGCAGTTACAACCTCCTGAAACGGCTGTCGATGGCGCCGAGCACGAGGACGACGCTCAACGAGGACAACTTGACCTCGTACATCCAGCAAGACGAGGCGATGCAGGAGGCTGAGCTGTCGCAGGAGCTCTTGGCGCAGGCAAACTTCGTCGCCCCAAGGAGGCAAGGAGGTCGACCGGGGCAGCGCGGGCTGTCCGGTGGCGGTGGTAGCAGTGGCTGGAAGGAGGCCACGAAGGTCAACAAGAAAAATTCGACCAAGGCAAGCGGTCGAGGAGGAGGAGGTCGACGTCGGGAGTGCTGGCTATGCGGCAACCCCGACCACCTCTCCTTCGAGTGCCCCAACCACAGTGACTCCGATGAAGACAACGCCAAGGGAGGCCACAGGAGGTCTGGCAGTCGTTGTCCTCGTCGAGGAGGAAACAAGCCGCGGAAGGAGAAGCAGTCGACCAAAACGTCGACTTCGGCGAAGGACGCCGACTCCTCTGCTGGCGACAAGGGACAGAACGACAAGACGGCGTCGCGCTCGCTAGTCGGCATCGTGGAGCCGACCGTCTTGCTGGCGTCGGAGGTCGGAGAGGATTTCCAGGCGGTGGTGGCTGCTGTGCAGGCAAACCCGGCGGTGGTCCTACTCGACAGCGGCTACTCCCACCACTTGATGGGGACAAAGGAAGTCTTCGTCGACCTGCAGCCGAGCGGCTCTATCAAGCACGTGCGTGGCTTCAATGGGGCTCTGCAGGACGTCCAAGGCCGCAGCACCGTCGCCCTGCAAGGGGAGGCCGGGAAGCAGGTGCTCATCGTCGACGTGTTGTACGTCCCGGGTGTGCGGGCAAACCTGTTGTCGTCCAGCCAGCTGAAGGAGCACGGGGTGAAGCTGCAGGAGGACGGCAACGGGATGCTGCTAGTCTCGGTAGTGGGAGAGGTGCTCGGTCGGGCGATGTACTCCGGGCGTGTCCTCTGCACCGACCTGTGTCCCTGCTCAACGAGGTCGGCGTCGTCCACGCGAGAGGTTGTGGCCCTGCGGGCGATCGTCTCCAAGAGGAAGTCGACGCCAAACAGGATGCACGCGAGACTTGCGCACGTCGGCATGGACACCATACGCAGCTCGGCGAAGAACGAGGTCGCCATTGGGCTGGACCTCAAGTCAACATCGGGGGCCGACTCACAGTGTGTCTCGAGCGTCGGAGGGAAGCTAGCACGGCACACCTTCCCTGACCACAGCTCCGACGCCGCTGACGTACTCGCCGTCGTGCACATCGACCTGTGCAGGCCGTTTCGCGTGGCTGCCAAGGACGGCAGCATGTACTTCTTGCTGCTGAAGGACCGCAAGACCCGCTTCGTGTGGGTGAGGCCGGTTGCCAAGAAGTCGGATGTGCTTTTGGAGTTCCAGAAGTGGCTGGTGTTGGTGGAGAGGCAGGTGAAGAAGTCGGTGCTGATGCTGCGCTCAGGGCGAGGAGGAGAGTTCCTCGGGAAGAAGTTCACCGACTTCGTGGATGGCAAGGGGATCGTCCACGACCTTACCTGCCCGTACACCCCGCAGCAGAACAGCATGGCGGAGCGGGAAATGCGGACGGTGGTGGAGTCGGTGCGGACGATGTTGCTGCACATGGGCGTGCAGCACCACAGGTGGCAACTCGCTCTGCGGCAGGCCGTCTGGGTCCGCAACTGCCTTGAGCGGTCGACGCTGCCGCCGGGGACGACTCCGTACCAGCTGCTAACAGGACAGAAGCCCGAGTTGTCGCTGGCGCGGGTGTGGGGTTGCATGGCGTAGTTCCTCGTCAACGAGCAGGAGCGTGGTGGGAAGCTGAAGCCGAAGGCGAGGTGGGGCCTTCACCTCAGCGTGTCGACGGAGAGCAAGGGCTGGGAGCTCCTCGACATCGACGCCAACCGGGGGGTCACCACGTCAGACGTGGTGCTCTACGAGGATATGTCGTTGGAGGTGTGGAAGTCGGAGCACGGGCCGG